GGTGATGGACTCTTTTTAGTTCCTCTCAGTCCCCTACTTCCTACTGTCTCCCCCATCCTGAGATCTTTAGTCAGTTTGTATGCCCTGTGCCTTTTTACTATTTGATCATCTTGGTTGTACCAGGACCTCTTAACTTCTTTAAGTTAGAGCGTTATGCCTTACAGTGTTTGAGTTGATGACCTCTGAGCTTCAGAATGCAGTTAAACTGCTGCCGCGAAAGGGAAGAGTTGTTGGCATTAGCTGGTTTATCTTAATGATTTCAGCAGTTATATAGCCTTCGGTGTACTGTTTTATGAACAAGTGGAAACAGATGAAAGATAATTTTATTCTACACTCTCATGCTGCCCTTTCACTAGTGTAACTGGGACTAAGAAAGACTGGACAGTACTACAGAACAGATGTAAACATGAACTTGGCAAATCCTCCTGGCTCAAGCATAGAAACAGTACAGAATACTGCTTTGAACCATTCTTTGTGAAAATGTCTGATGCTTCTAGAAAATACCAAAAATATTTTATTAGCTATGTTTTTTCCAAATGAACCATGAACTCCTTTGGAAATACAGTGACTCAGTATCCAAGGAGAATTTCTTCATGCAGGAACTATAAATGACATTACGAATACTACTTTTTAAAAATTTCCATTGGAATATTTTTCTTAAAAAGTTGAGATGTCACACTGAGGGGATACAGTGCCAGAAATCACAATTTTTAATCTCTTCCTTTATACCATATCAAAAGGATGTTAGGTGTCCATTATTAATGATTAACCTTTGTTTTGATTTTTCCTAACATGGTTTAGTTCACATAGTCCAACTTCCAATTTAAGTTTCTAAAACTCCTAAGGCTTCCTTTTGATGCCAACATTAACGAAAGGGTTCTTCATTTGAAAGGAAGGCTGTGCTGCAATTGGCAAGGATTAAAATGCAGTAGTTTAATCCTTTCAAGCTATGAATGGAGATAATTGAAGCATAAACCATTTAAAGTTTTTGTACACACTTACTTGACTATGTGTCTATATTTTGAGGAGAAGAGACTGCATGAACATAGACTATTTTCACTATTTTACTTGTTAAAAGAATCTAATGAACAAGGATTTAATTGAGTTTGGGGTTTATATCTTGAATTTTTCAACTAACTTATAATGCAATCTTTTGATAAGGATTATTTCTTCAACTGAATACCAGTGATGTCAGCTATCATCATATTGTTTCTATTAGCATTTTTAAATTAGTTTTCAAGACAAGAAGGGCAAACACATATCCAGAATATGTATCTACTCTTATAAAATGAATTGCTGCCACTTCTAGAGTAGATGAGGTCCAATGCAATCACCATACCCCCAACTCCTTATTGTGCCTCATCTTGCACCCCATCTTCCATACCCCACCCCTTAACCCCTACCTTGATCATGTACTCTCAGAATGCCAGTACATGTTAGCTAGGTCCTGCACTTAATTCAGGCTGTAGTCCCTTTCTCCCTCAAATGTGCACACATTCCTGGTTAGGTTATCTTGTAACTTAACCCCACGTTTTGGCCTAGTGGCAGCAGAGAAGGTGGGACAGATTGTAGGAAGTGGGAAGAATGTTGCCTAATGGAGTTAGAAACTTCTCCATCATCTTCCAATAAGAGAGAACTCTAGCCTTTAGGGGAAACTTCTCCATCATCTTCAAACAAGAGGGAATGTCAACCTTTAACAGTCCACTCCTGCAGGCTCTGAAAATCCATTCAAGTGAATCTGGGGATTCATGATTTTCAGGTTATCACCTAGATGTTCCTATCCCATGGGTCAAATATCATTTTTTCCCATCTAGGGCTCTAACCTTAACATAGCAGACCTGCTTAGGTTGAGAATTTAACCTTTTTGGAAGCTCTTCTACTCTTACCATTAAGTCCTGGTCTTAGTCATCAGCTTTCCTTGCCCTCCTGCTACTGGAGGTGAGAACCTCTTGTTTTGCTCTCGAAGAGGCCCTCTGGCTTTCACACTTAGCTTTTAATTTCTCATTAATCATGCTCAACCTTTGTGTCTTTCCTTTATTTCCTAAATTGAGCTTAGCAATAGCCATCAAACTCTGCTGTCCTTATAGTTAGTGTTTATCTGATATTTCTCAAAAAGCCTCAAGTATCACACCCAGTGGAACATTCCCTTCCACCAGAATACTACCCAAGACAGCATCAGTAAAAGATAGTGTGGCTGTCTGTGCACTGCTTACCCCCAGTGAAGGAATCTTTATTGCCAGTACCATGATAGGTGTTCCAACTCCAAAATCTTAGTGTCTGCTTTCTCAGATCACTTTTGGTATTAACTGTTGTAGATTGGGTTCCCTGCAAAGAAAATTCTGGGGTGGAGATGAGTGTACAAGAAGTTTGTTTTAGGGAGTGCTCTAGTCAGTACGAGTGGAAGGGAAAAGTTGGACTATGATTCAGTGTCAGTAGAAGCCTCAGCTGACCTTGGGACCTCTGAATGTGGAATGGCCCTGCAGAGTTGTCCTGAGTTGTGGTGAGGGGGTCTAGTCTTTATTCCTCTGAACTGACTAGTTATTGAATGCAGGCTAGCACAGAAAAGGTCACAACCTTTGGCAAGGTAGTACTCTTCAGCCAAAACTGTCCTCCAAAGGGCTGGTTTCTTAGGGCTGTCTGCCAGCAACATTTCCAGCAGCTGAGGGAATAAGTCCTTCATTTCCGTGAGGGATCTCAGTGGCATGTCACAGCATCCATTAGTTTTATTGAGTACACTTCCTTTCATTTTATTGTGTAAATTACTCTTTTTTTAAAATATTTGTTTTTGGCTCTGTCGGGTCTTAGTTGCAGCACGTGGGATCTTTCGTTGTGATGCGTGGGCTCTTCGTTGTGGCACGTGGGCTTCTCTCTCTAGTTGTGGTGCAGGGGCTTAGTAGTTGCAGCACGTGGGCTCTCTAGTTGCGACGCACGGGCTCCAGAGCGAGCGGGCTCTGTAGTTGTGATGTGCTGGCTCCAGAGCACACAGGCTCTGTAGTTGTGGCTCATGGGCTCTCTAGTTGTGGCTCACATGCTCAATAGTTGCGGCGCATGGACCCAGTTGCCCCGTGGCATGTGGGAGGGTAAGAACTTTATCGCTTTGTTGACTAAAATTTTTTTCTAGCTGTTGTTTCATTCTCATTTCATTCAAAGTCTGAGGCATGATTCTTCATATTGAATTTTTAATAATTAATTGTCTCTATTTTTCTTTCTCTACATAATGAATTATTTATTTTTCTATAACCTCTTTATATAATTGAATGATGAAATGAAATTTTTTTTAAATCTGTTTTATAAGGTACTTACAATCCCTCATGTCACTTGACTGTTTTTCAAAGTCTTAATAAATAGCCAGTGAAGCTGTGAAAATAGAATCAACAAACATCATGGCAGTGGCAAAAAATGAGCCTGGAAATGTAGGTAGGTAGGCTTTCACCTGACAGATGATGAGATTATTCCTATATCCTGGAAGAGAAGAAATGAGATCAAATTTGCACTTTTGTTTTTTAATCATGCTGATGGCAGTGTGAAGGATACGTGGGCGAAGGAGAGAAGATTGGTTGTAGGTATATCATCACATAAATCGCAGATATTGTTTGGGAGTTTTCCTAGAGGAGTATGGAAATAAATACTTCATTGGGAGTATATGTTTGACAGATTAAAGAAATAATCTTAGTAAAAGACTACATTTCTATATCCATCCTTAGTGTGGTGAAAATAAATGCAGAGATATTTGATACATTGACATAGACAGTTGTTCCACTTAGTTTTGAGTTCAACTAATAATAAAAGTGAACAGGTTACTTAGTTTTCCAAGAATTCTATGAAAATCTTTCTTATTGTAATTATTACATAAGTTAGCTTCATTAAATTAATATGAAGCCTTTACAGAAAACATTAACATATCAATGATAGTTTTCTAAACACATTTAATGGGATTAAAAAAAAAAACTTTTCTTAAAGGTAGTTGTGGTCTTTATACCACGTTCATCTTTTTAAAGCGCAAAAGAGTAATGTCATTTTAATATTCCTATGAGTCAACTCATCATTTTAAAACTTCTCTATTTATTAAGTAAAATTGCCATTATCAAACATAGTAAATGCTGCTACTAGAATAGACTTGCAGATTACCTGGCTTTTGGATTAATAGGTTGTTTGATTTGACTTGACTGTCAACCTACTGTTTTTCAAAAAATTTTATTAAAATTCTTGCACTTTTTAATAAAACTTTTTTAGTTGGAATATATGAAGACAATTCTATTAAAATTTGAAATACAGTTTATTGTTCACTTAACATGAGTGCCAAAGATTGTGGATGCTGTAATACTGTTATTTAAAATCATGATGAAACCTGACTATGATATATACTTAAGTGTTGCTTTTAGGGTGAGAAAGCAAAATGTGATTATGATTAGAATATCTTTTTTAAAAATGTAGCCTACCTTAGGATTAAAATGTGTAAGATAAAAAAGTAGTACACATAATTGTTCTTAAAAATAAAAAATGCTTTTGAAGGACTAATACTAAATGCTTTCTTTAAATACATTTTCCTTAATTGTACTAATACAGGGTCATCTGCTTTCTTTTCTTTGATGGATCAAGCTCGTTAAAATGTAATTTGGGACTTCCCTGGTGGTCCAGTGGTTAATTAAGACTCTACACTTTCACTGCAGGGGGGCACAGGTTCAATCCCTGGTCAGGGAACTAAGATCCCACATGCCACATGGTGCAGCCAAAAAAAAAAAAACACAGTAGCATTCATCCTTGATCTTGTAAGAGGGTCACATTACCCACCATTGATGACGCTTAGATCTGAATCGTGTAAACTATCAATAAACATCATTTGATATACAAAAAAGTATATATATATGATATATATATATATAATTTAAAATACATTTAAGTACAACTGTATTAAAACTATTTTTATGTATTGTACTTCTTCCTGTTTTTAAATGTACACATCAGTAACAGAACTTACAATTCTCTTATTTTACTCCTAGATTTATTCCTCACGACATTGTCTGCCTCTAATACCTTCCAGTTTGAGATATGGAAAAATTTGGTAAGAAATCTTTTCTTTGAATCATTTTTAAATGATGGCTTTCAGTAAAAAAAAAAAAGCACACAGTCTTAGAAAGTAAAATGAAAGTAATCATTTGGTCGGTTGGTTTCAACAATAAATAGAACAACTTTAAGAGCTTTTGGTTGCATTGCTGCATTCAAACTGGTGAATATTGCTGAAGGAAATGATTCTTTCAGCATCAATTCCTCTGCAGGTTTTTAGGCATGACCCGCCAATTAAACCAATCAGTCTTCCCTAATACGCATGTTAACAGGGCCCCTGCTAGGCTGTCAGCTGTTGAGAGAGATGCCTGTCACTTAAGTTGTCAGCATGATGGTTTGTTGAAGAAAACCCCTTTTAAAAGACTAATTTTTCCTACTTGCCTTCAGGCTTATATACAAAAATAAGAACAACAGATACTAAATTTACTCGCAAGTTGACGAGGCAATATAGTTTTTTAATTGCAAATAGAATATTCCCAAACTGATGTCATGGTTTCACTTTATTTTTAGCTTGATGTAGATTATATGAAATACTAATTAATGAAGAATAGACTACCCAGATTTTTAAAGTTGAATTATAGGTACATAATGGAGGACAGGATTTGAGGACAAGCCAAATTGGCCAACTGAGTGACATTCATCAAATAATGGTCGAGTATTAAACCTCACTTTCCTCATATGGAAAACAGGTATAAGAGTGTCATGTCGGCTTCATAGACTGTTTGTGAAGATTAAATGCAACAATGTGTGTAAAATACCTGGCACACAATACACACCAAATTTTAGTTTGAGATCACTTGGTTTCCCAGCTATTTACTCCAGATTGTCTTTTATTCAATCTAAATTAAACCCATAGCATTTTGTAGATTTTTGTTAAAATACTTTTGAAAAATAAACAGATTTTTAAAAATGTAAAGTGCAGGCTCATGGAAGAAGACTCATTATCAGCCATCTCTTATAGAAGAGTCATGATTCAGATTTCTTCATGGAAGGAAACTAGGATCGGGCAACAGCTTTGTTTAGACAAGATTAGGGCTTTTAAATACTACTAACTACTTCCAAACTAAGCAATTTGATCCTTTTTTCTTTTTTTTTATGAGGCAAGGAAAAAGAAAGACATCTAAACCAGAAAGATTTATCTTTGTTTAATGTACTATATATATATATATATATATATATATATATATATATATATATTTTTTTTTTTTTTTTTGCGGTACGCGGGCCTCTCACTGACGTGGCCTCTCCCGTTGTGCAGCACAGGCCCCGAACGCGCAGGCTCAGCGGCCATGGCTCACGGGCGCAGCCGCTACGCGGCATGTGGGATCTTCCCGGACCGGGGCACGGACCCACGTCCCCTGCATCGGCAGGCGGACTCTCAACCACTGCGCCACCAGGGAAGCCCAAATGTATTATATTTTTTAATATAGTTGTATTTGTTTTTCTGATGATAGAAATACAGTTATATTTTTAATGATTACCATAAATGAAAATTTCCACTAGTGGGGGATACTCGTTTTCAGGTGGCCTTGAAAACAATACTTCAAGTGAATCTTGAGGTATTAGAAAATGAGAAAATCAATCATTTTGATTAACAAACTAGTATCCATCAGGGGGAGAAAAGCCTCATTACAAATAAATATTATATATATATATATAAAATTACAGACTACTTTTGAGTATATTATTTCCTCTCAACCTAGGCTGATTTAAAGGTCATAAAGTGAAGCAACTCAATAGGAGAAAAATCTTCAAGAAGAGACTCGATTTTGATTGGACTCTTTTTTCCCTTTCTTGTCTTCTTTAAAGAAAATAAATTATCTATTTGACAGTAGAGACTAAGGGTTTTTCATGTGGTAAAACAGCTGGGTCAATAAGGTACTCACATTAACAATAATATAAAAGTCATTAGTACAAAGTAAGGGGAATGTAGACTCAAAATTAACTTGTTCAGATAAAATGTAGGTTTTGTAAAATGGGAGGATCATTTTTAATTTAGAAGTTGGGCAAACAATTCACAGTAACACACTAATTGACAAAAAAAAAAACCCTCAAACCCTATAAAACCATATTAGCTAATAGAAGAATATGCGCTGCAACAAATCTTTTTAGGTAGTTTGGGCACAGCCCCATGGTAGGTGCTCTGGGAGATCAGAAGTCGACAGAAGACGAGGAGGAGGGCTAAGATGTGAGTGTAGGCAACTCTGACTGGTATGATGAGAGGTACAAACCTCATGCTGCAAGGAGTTAAAAGACAGAGCAGTTGCTTCCATTTGGACCACCCAGGATCATCTGGGAAGGCTTCAAGGAAGATGTGGTATTTGAAATGGCTGGTACAGATGAGCAGGATTTTAGTGGTTGAAAGTGAGAAGAAGAAAGAGGGCAAGGACATGCATGGGAAACACAGGACATAGAGTAGAAAGTGGCTGGTTTGGGCCAGAATATGAAAAGATACTGGAAGGTTAGATTAGAACAACTGGTTTAGACAAGATCAGCAAAGGTCTTGACTCCTAAACTAAGTAATTTGATCTTTTAAAAATTTATTGAGAAGCTTAAGTCCTAAAGGTTTTATGACTGAGCATGAGATAAATAGAGCTTTCATTATTGCAGTTAGTCTGGCTATTGCATATCAGATAGGTTAGCATGGAAAATCTGGAGGTGGGGGGATGACTTAGGTAGAATCTACTATATCCTGGGAAAGAGGTGGATGATTAAAGGAGTAGAATGTTGGGAATAGACAAGAAGGGATAGGTATGAGAAGACAGAAGGACCATTAATGCAAGGGTAACAGAAAAGACAAAGGAAGATCTAATTTGGGGCAGGAAAAAAAAATTGTTTTAGATAAGAGACATATCAATGAAATGGTTAGAAATGTAGGACTGAAACTCAAGGAAGAGAATAGATAAGTATCATGAAGGGAAAGAGTTAAGAGGGGAATGGCAAAGCCAGACCCATGGACAACACCCACCGCCCTTAGAAACTTTCAATCTTGGCACTTAATGCCATTTTAGGCCAGATGATTCTTTGTTTTTTTTTGGTTTGTTTTTGTTTTTTGGAGTTTTTTTTGAAGAATAGTTGATTTACCATGTTGTGCCAATCTCAGCTGTACAGCAGAGTGACTCAGTATACATATATATACATTTTTTATGTTCTTTTCCATTATGGTTTATCCCAGGAGATTGGATATAGTTCCCTGTGCTATACAGTAGGACCTTATTGTTTATCTCTTCTAAATGTAATAGTTTGCATCTACCAACCTCAAACTCCCCCAGTCCATCCCTCTCCCTCCCCCACTCCCCGTTGGCAACCACAAGTCTGATCTCTATGTCTGAGAGTCTGTTTCTGTTTTGTACATAGGTTCATTTGTGCCATGTTTTAGATTCCACACATAAGTGCTATCTCATAGTATTTGTCTTTCTCTTTTTGACTCTACTTCATTTAGTATGAGAATCTCTAGTTGTATCCATGTTGCTCCAAATAGCATTGTTTCTTTTTTATGGCTGAGTAATATTCCATTGTATATATGTACCACATCTTCTTTATACTTTCATCTATCGATGGACATTTAGGTTGTTTCCGTGTTTTGGCTATTGTGAATAGTGGTGCTATGAATATAGGGGTGCATATATCTTTTTGAATTATAGTTTTGTCCAGGTATATGCCCAGGAGTGGGATTGCTAGATCATATGGTAATTCTATTTTTAGTTTTCTGAGGAACCTCCATACTGTTTTCTGTAATGGCTGTACCAACTTACATTCCCACCAACAGTGCAAGAGGGTTCCCTTTTCTCCACACCCTCTCCAGCATTTGTTATTTGTAGACTTTTTAATGATGGCCATTCTGACCAGTGTGAGGTGGTACCTCACTGTAGTTTTGATTTGCATTTCTCTAGTAATTAGTGATGTTGAGCAGCTTTTCATGTGCCTACTGACCATAGGCCAGATGATTCTTTAATGTGGAGATCTGTCCTGTGCATTGTATGTTGTTTAGCAGTATCCCCCCTGGCCCCTGCTCACTTAGGTGCTAGAAGCTGGCTCTCAATTGTAACAATGAAAATGTCTCCATATATTGCCCAGTGTCCTCTGGCAAACAAAATCACCTCTGGTCAAGAACCATTGCTTTATGCAAATAAAGATGTAGACACATGATAGTCATCCTATGTTGCTTCCTGATCATTTTTTAACATTATAAATATGGCAGTTTTAATAGTAAATATTAAAACCTGCAGGCCAAAGCATAGGTGGTCTTCCATGTAAAGATACTTGTTACAACATAGCACCTGTGGCTGGAATTCAAGCAGAAAATGGCAAATCCCTTGTCAATGGCAGTGTGTTAGCTGCTTCAATGGTGGGTAGCAGAAATAATAGTATTAATACTAGCGTTCCTACTACCAATTATAATGTTAACTACATACATATTTGTGCATATGCTGAGCTAATAAGCACTTTATATGGATTATTTTACTAATCCTCACAAAAACCTTGTAAAAATTCATTTTAGAGATAAGTAAACAGATGCTTACATTAGAACTAACTTGTTCAGACCTCAAAGCTAGGAAACAGTGGAGCTGGGAGTTGAACTAGGAAATCTGTCTCTAAAATTTGGACCCTTAAGTCATTGCACAGTCATTCCAGAAACCAAGTAGGTGGAAGAAAAGGTAAAAGACATAGTTATAATTGTAGCAGTGGGTTGGCCCAATTTTGGATTGCAGGACTACAATGAAGGCAAGTAAGAACAGCATGGTAATGAATGGGACAGAGTGGAGTGGTCTCAAATAGCAGCTCATGAAAAAAGTACTTGCAGCTCAGAAGCACAGGACTGACATTATATAAAAATACCTTAAAAGTGCCTGATAACTTTACATTTTGCAGAACTCTTCCTAAAGTTTCATTCCATTGATCCTCTCTAGAACCCTGCAAGTACACAGTACATTTATCCCCTTCGAACAGTTGAAGAACAGAGACCCAGAGCAGTAAGTGGCTGTTCCAAAGTGATACAACTTAGCAATGAAAGGTCTAGAACCACGTCATCTAACTACATGTCTACTTCCCTTTCTACCAGACTGTTCTACTCTCTCAGTTTAAAAGAGTATTGATCACGTTTGTCTTTCCTACATTAAATAGGTACAAAGCAGCTTCATCTTTGAAAATAAGTGTAGGCATGCATCACTTTAAAATATGTCATCTAATAAGAGTAATAACATAGTGATGATTAAGTTTATTGAATCATTTTAATCAAATACTAAATATGTACATGACACTGAAATTAAGTCCTATAGGTTTGTACTGCCAAATGGAGTAAAGAATAAGCAATGATAATGATGGAAAGATAAATTCAATAAAGTGTTATCTTTTCCCCCAATTATGTCATATATATAATGTATTCTGCACGCTCTCACTGTAGCAAGAATATATGATTCTCTTTTTCTTACAGTTAGAAGAGGGTTTTGTTCTTCTTATACTGAGATTCATGGTGAATGTGGCATCTTAGAAATGGGAGGCTGTCACCTGGGGAGTATTCAGTGTTTCTTGGTGGAGATGCATCATGAAGTTATACAGGCATACCTGTTTTATTGTGCTGCACTTTATTACACTTCACAGATAGTGCTTTTTTTTTTTTCTTACAAATTGAAGGTTTGTGGCGGCCCTGTGTCAAGCAAGTATATCAGCACCATTTTTCCAGCAGTATTTGGTCACTTCTTGTTTTCTGTGTCACTTTTTGTAATTCTGACAATATTTCAAACTTTTTCCATAGTATTATATTTATTATGGTGATCTGTGATTATTGATCTTTGATGTTACTATTGCAAAAAGATTGCAACTTGCTGAAGGCTTAGGATGACAGCACTTTTTTTCAGCAATAAAGTATTTTTTAATTAAGGTATGCCCATTTTTTTAGGCATAATGCTTTTGCACACTTGATAGACTACAGTATAGTATAAAAATAACTTTTATATGCACTGGGAAACCAGAATATTCCTGTGACTTGCTTTATTGCAATACTCACTTTATTGTGGTGTTCTGGACTGCAATATCTCTAAAGTATGCCTGTATCTGGAAACATTTCTAAATATATTTTATTGAGTTTAACAGTACTTCACTGGGGTAATTCATTCACTTGAGTCATTTAATAGGTTGATGTTCAGCTTTATGTTAGATGAGGCTGATGTATTTTAAGAGAGATTTTTCCATTCATTCAAGAATAATTATGTCCACTTTGTACCTGATGCTGTAATCTTTCTAGAATGCAAATTCACTTGACACTTGTCAGAAATTTGGCAATTTTGATGCATCTCTAGTGTAATTTCAGGTACTAAGTAAGACTGGAGGGGAATCCTAAGTTTTAAGACAAGTAAATAAGATTTCCGTAGAAAAATCATTCAAAAATATATCAGATACTTTAATAATGGTAGGTAGGAGAAACATGTTTCTGCATGTGGATGATGGTGTATTAAAATGGTTGGAAAACTGCCTGTCACAAGGCAAATTTTACTTATTCATGTTTCTCAAGCATGTAGTCTTCATGCTTTCAGTGTAGCAATGCATTTCTCTGTAAATGTTAGAAATAATTTCTTAAGAAACTAACTTGCAGATATGCAGTATCCTTAGAGGAACAAAGGAGAAAAATGTTTTAAAATTGTTTAATATTTTAAAATATATAGGTATCCTATATAAAGTATGTAGGAATCAGGGTCAGTATATCGAATAGTGAATAGAGAAATCAGTGATAAGAAGAGAGCTCTAAAGCTGAGAGCTCAAAACCCAAATGCAGAGTTTTGGGGGGTTTTTCTTGTGTAGTAATCTAAAATTATAGAAAAGAAAGGCAGTAATTTAAAGAAATGTATATTATTTTTGTAAGCCAGACATTCCATTTTGGTAAGAGTAACTGAAACAAATGATCTCTAATGGGTTCTCCTTTTTTGTTTAGCTTATCCACCTCTGGTTAGTACATGGCAGATGTTGTACTCCTTTGCTCCCTTTCTAATTGATACAGAAACTTGGGTTGATAATGAATGGGCCATTTAAGGATGGGTGTAATTCTCATTTCATTTGAATATCTGTTCCTAATTAACCCCCAACAGAATCATCTTCCTTCAAATCTGTAAATCATAGTGTCTTTCCTACTTATACCACTTATATGTTACCTTCAGAAATTCTGTTTTCCTGACTTATATTTTATCTCCCAACTGGACTGTAAGCTCTTTGAAGGTAGGAACTATGTTTTGGGCTTCTTTATATTCCCCAAACCTTCCACAGTACTTGAAAGTAGAAGACACTCATTCTGTCTGAAATTATGATGATGATTTAGTAAAACATACCATACCTGAATTGACAGCAAGGAAAGCACTCCAAATGCACATCTTCAACTCACAGCAGTTTCTTTCATTTTATGAGAAAAGTGGAACAGAAAATTGGGATAATTTTTTGCAGTACAACAAAAGTCTTAAATTATTTATTTTTCTGCTTTAGTTAAAATGCTTTGTTTCACATTTGACAAATGAATGGATTATGATGGTCTAATCCAAAACTTTCTGCCTTTAACAGGATGGAAATTTCTCTCTCAGTACTGTATTTGAAAAACCTCAAAATATGATGGTAGTTGGACAGTCAGCATTTGCCGACTTTGGTAAGATTGTTTTTGTCTTTGAAAATCTCCCCGTCTCTCTGACCTAGTCATATTAATTCCCCATATCTAAAAGTAACTTTAGTGTCTTCAGAGCTATTACTGATTTAAAAGATGCCTGTCCTAGTATTATACATGGCATGTGGTCAATTCTTTAATACAATAAGGAGCAATTTATGACGTGTGTTTAAATTATAGTTTGAATTTAAGGGACTCCTGTTTGCAGGAGTAACATGCAAAACCAAGGATGTCTACTGAGGCTCTTCTAGAGAATACCAAATAGTAATTATCATGACATTTTTATGTATATCCACACTGTAGAACAAAAATATTGAGGAAATTAACCTGATCTCTTCAAACTACTTGAATATTAAAAAACATTTTTGTTTATATCTTAATTCCAAAGAGTAGCATCTGTTATGAATCTCTGTTTTCCAAAAGATTCTACACAATAAATCAAGTTCAGAACTTCCAAAGCATATATGGCTCTTTCATCATTTGTCAGGGTTATTATTAAAAGGATTTTGGTGTCAGATGGAAAAGTGGTCTAGATGACCACTACCTGAGTCCAAAGTTCGCTCCCATCCTGCTTTTCCTTCATTCTACCAACAAACATCTCAGCCCTGTTCCTCAAAATGCAAGTGACATATTACCAGAGGCCTCAATTTCTTCATTTGTAAAATGAGGATGATGATTATAACCATCTCACAAGGCTATTGTGAATAACACAATGTGAGTAAAGCACAGCATCAGGCACAGAGTAAGTGCACAGGAAATTATTGTAATTATATAATCTCAGTCTTTTCACTGGACTTGTTTGGTCTTGTTGTTGCTGCTTTTTGCTCTGCTGACTAAATCAACTCATTGTTCAGTGTCATAGAGACGTGTCCCATGACAACTAAAGCAGGAGGTTTGATAGTGTTATTTGATGAAAATTTCAACATGAATCTCTGTTGTACAGTATTTTAGTTTTATTACATTGAATATTACTTTGATTTTGAGCAAATTTCTGGGGCCTGATTTATAGTCTTTAATGCAAATAGTCAAGTGTTAGGATACATGAATTTTTCTTTTAATTTGCTTATGGACTTGATTAGCTGGATTAATGACAAATCCCTTTGCAAGTCTCTCTCTAGGGAAAGAAGTATATATGCAGTATATAATTCTCAGGAGGCTCACAGACCTCCCTTAACCCCTGGTTAGGATCCTCCAAATTGAAGATATTTGTTTTATTATTGTGTGTTTTGTATGATGAAGTGCTTTGCTTGTAACAAAGTTATTAGTAGCTTTACTTAAAGATTTTTTTTAATTGTGCTAACCATACACATAGACATTTAATTTACATGTTTGTATTTTTTCAATGTGCAGAATATAGGATATAGTCAATTAAACATAACTATTTCTCTCCTATTTTTAATAACTTTAGGTGAGTATATCAGTAAACTTTTTTAATAGATCAGTAAATTTTAAAGAAATAGCCCACACTGTCTTTTTAAAACTTGATGTATTTTTAGCTGGGTATTATCAAAAAACAAGACTGCTTATGAGTCCAAACAGATGGCATTGAATAAGGTTATGAATATTAATATATAAAAATATGCATTTTCCTATACATTTGAATATGTCTGTAAATTGCATCCTGCCCTCCATCCACCACCCCTCACACTCCTTTTGAACCAAGGCAAGGGAAGTGACTGACAGCCAGGAAGTCAGAGTGATATCAGAAATTCACCATTTGTTTGGTTAAGAAAAAGTACATGCTTGAAGCACATGCATGAATAAATGATATAGCTCACAGGAAGACTCCTGTACCAAAAAGGAATGTTTAAATGGCTCCCAGCTCACCTGCATTGTCTAGGAACAGAAGTTTTTTACCTATGATGAAGTTTTTAGTTTCTAATGTAAAATATTTTTTAAAAGATATCAAAAAACCTACTCTTAAAGAAGGCTGTGCTGGTATAGTGAAAGGGAGGTAGGATGGTTTGAAATCAAACAAATCAGGAACTTCTAGCTAATAAAACAAGGAAATAATTATTCAGACTTATGATAACATTATTTATTCCCTTTATAAGACAAACAAATACTTTCCCAGAAATCACCTAAATAAAACTCTATGAAATGTTACACAGCCAATAAAATGGGAGTTATGAAGATTCTGTTAGGAGAAAAAAGCAGAACAGTATGTTGTACAGTATGATCATTAAAAAAAAATAAGACTAGAGCAAAATATATCAAAATGATGATAATGGTTGCGTTAAAGTCGGAAAATAGGTTATCTTATTACCTGTTTTCCAAATTTTCTGCTATGTGGTTAGATTAATTTAGTAATGAAAAAGTAAAATATAGAAGGATAATAGTCAACTATGGCAAGAAAGAAACCAAAGTATGTACTTAGTGTTTAGATATTTCTGTCGTATTACCTCTGAGTTCATATATAATTTATCCTATCCTCTGAGTTGCATGAACAACTCCTTCAGAGAAGGTCATGTACTTACACACAGTCTTTAACTCCTACAGCTTTGTAGATACAGTAGTAGTCCCTAGGTATCCACAGGGGATTGGTTCTAGGACCACCCCACCATCACCAGTTCCCACCAGCTACTGCCAGATACCCAAATCCGAGGATATTCAAGTCCCTTATAGTGTAGAAAATTACATGGTACAGTCAGCCCTCCATTTCTGTGGCTTCTACAGTTGATTGAATGGATGCAGAACCCATGGATATGTAGGGCCAACTGTACCTTTTTAAATTAACTTCAGAAAGTAAAACAAAATCTTCTGGTCTGATGGGATATGCAGAAGGTAATGCTTCTGGGACATGGAATAGGAAGTCAGGGGGAGTTTATTAGAATCTCTGAGATACCTGAGATTTTCATATCAAAAGAGAGGTGGATTTCAGAAGATGTGGTTCATATATACAATGGAATATTACTCAGCCATAAAAAGGAACAAAATTGGGTCATTTGTTGAGATGGATGGACCAGAGTCTGTCATACAGAGTGAAGTAAGTCAGAAAGAGAAAAAAAATATTAACACATGTAGGTGGAATCTAGAAAAATGGTACAGATGAACCTATTTGCAGGGCAGGAATAGAGACACAGACGTAGGGAACGTACCTGTAGACACAGGGGTGGGATGAATGGGGAAATTGGGATTGACGTATATGCACTGCCGTGTGCAAAATAGATAGCTAGTGAGAACCTGCTGTATAGCGCAGGGAGCTCAGCTTGGTGCTCTGTGGTGACCTAGATGGGATGGGATGGGGGGTGGTGGGAGGGAGGTCCAAGAGTGAGGGGATATATGTATACATATAGCTGATTTACTTCATCGTACAGCAGAAACTAACACAACATTGTAAAGTAACTATACCCTAATTAAAAAAAAAAAAAAAAGACAGGGTAGATTTAAACAGTTTTGAAATACTCGATCTCCTAAGGATGGAAACCAATCAGGAGACAGATCGGGCATGAGGTGGTGTGAGCATGAGCTAACTACATCAATAATTGGAGGGACAGTTGGGAGAAACTTTGCAAAGAAATAATCAGTAAATGTACTGGTTGGTTTGACAATAGAAGGATTAAAAAAAAAAAAAAAACAACTTGCCTCTGAATAACTAGAAGAATCATTCTTTTCTCTACCATTTTTCATATCTACCATTTTTCCTAGAGATAGGTAATCAGGAGAGAAAACTGGTTTGGATATTAAGATACTTTAGAGTCATTACTTTAACAATGCTAGTAAGACAACAAGCTGGAACATTTATGAAACATAAGTTTAGTAATAAAACCAAAGCAAGTTTGAAAGTCCTTCAAGAGCTAAGAGATCAAGAACTGAATGAGCCCTCCAAGAAGGAGAGTGTGAATAGAGTTTGACACGAATAAGGAGGGAGAAAAAAAGAGTGCTAAAATGTGGTCAGAAAATATTGATGATATTAAAATGTGATGTACAAGGATGACCACGAAAAGGCCTTTGGATTTACAGTTTAGCAGGGCACTAGTGGCCCAAAAAGGTGTCATTTACAGAGCTCTTTAGCATTTCCTGAGCCTTAGAAATCAGCTAATAAGTAGTAGCTGCTGTTGGTTATTAGCTGGGCCCTGGCCTCACACTTGGGAGATCTGCAACCCATAAATGCCTCTAATACTTAAACAGTCATCTTCTAGAAAACATGTTGTGCCTTACCCTATTATATCACTCTTTTAAACTGTATGTTAAAGGTGAGTGTTTTTCTAGGTAGGCTTAGAATATCAAGGTGTTTAGAATTTCAGCAAATAAGGTAGTATCTGTTAAACTACATAGGACATAAAGTCAGGCTTCCCTGGTGGTGCAGTGGTTGAGAGTCCACCTGCCCATGCAGGGGACACAGGTTCGTGCCCCAGTCCGGGAAGATCCCACATGCCGCGGAGCGGCTGGGCCCGTGAACCATGGCCACTGAGCCTGCGCGTCCGGAACCTGTGCTCCACAACGGGAGAGGCCACAACAGTGAGAGGCCCGCGTACTGCAAAAAACAAAATAAAAGTCAAGAAAAATAAGGTACATTTTTTTCTATCAAAATAAGTTATATACAACCACACTTAGAGAAAACATTAATTTTGTATGCAATGCCAGATGTAATAGAAATCAATAAAAAGCTGCAAAACTGAAGGGAGAACACAAACCTTAACAGAACGTCAGCATTTTCTGTAGATTGAATCATATTTTAAATCTCATAAAATACATAAATTTATATATCCCAATCTAAATCTTGTTTATCAGATCATCATAAAGAGATCACACTTTATTCTTCAAGTGAAGAAAGAATACTGGCATGTTGGTGAAACCTGGGAATTGTAAATTAGGCCTAAATAATCCTATAAGTGATAAAGGAGTTAATGAAAATAGGAAACTTTGTCATCCGTGAAAGTTACTAACATATCGGAAAGTATTGAACCCCATAAATAGTATCACTTATGATTGAAACCAAATCTTATTCAATTGAGTATCCCAATGGCCTAGTACAGTAGATA